AAAATTACTCCGTTCCCATCTCCCAGAAACCAATGGTCCTTACCGCTATACCCATATTCAGAAAAGGCAGTGTGTTTCCCTCCAGCCCATACCAGGGGGGTGGGAGGGAGGGAGGGTGAGGGGGAATAAAGTGGTATAATTCACCAGTATATATCCCAGGTAGATGCCGTAACCGAGAGAACATTGTTTTTCTCTTTGTGTCTCTTACCAGTAGTCTCCAGAGAATATAATACAGACCAGTACTTACTTTACTACACTGCAGATGGAGCTTGGGGCAGCACCTTCTCTTGTGATGAAGGCAGGACCACCTTACTGAATGGGTTTTGTTTTTTTGTAGTGCGGATTAAAGGGGAAAGATAGAAGGAACTTTTAAGGGAACGTGGAGGTAACCTATGAAATAAGTGTAGAGTGAAGAGGTGTAGAGTGTAGAGGTGTAGAGTGTAGAGTGTAGAGGTGTAGAGTGTAGAGTGTAGAGGTGTAGAGGTGTAGAGTGTAGAGGTGTAGAGTGTAGAGGTGTAGAGTGTAGAGTGTAGAGGTGTAGAGTGTAGAGTGTAGAGTGTAGAGGTGTAGAGTGTAGAGGTAGAGGTGTAGAGGTGTAGAGGTGTAGAGGTAGAGTGTAGAGTGTAGAAGTGTAGAGTGTAGAGTGTAGAGGTGTAGAGTGTAGAGTGAAGAGGTGTAGAGTGTAGAGTGTAGAGGTGTAGGAGTGTAGAGGTGTAGAGTGTAGAGGTGTAGAGTGTGGGGAGGAGAAGGGGTAGAGGTAGAGGTGTAGAGTGTAGAGTGTAGAGGGGAGTGGGGTGTAGGAGGTAGGGGTGTAGAGGTAGAGTGTAGAGTGTAGAGTAGGGAGGGAGGTGTAGTGTAGAGGGGAGTGTAGAGGGGGTGTAGGGTGTAGAGTGTAGAGGTGTAGAGTGTAGAGGTGTAGAGTGTAGAGTGTAAGGTGTAGAGTGTAGAGTGTAGAGGTGTAGAGGTGTAGAGTGTAGAGGTGTAGAGGTGTAGAGTGTAGAGGTGTAGAGTGTAGAGTGTAGAGGTGAGGGAGAACGGAAGGAATATACTTTAGAATTTATATTGAATCATGTGAAGATTAGCCACCCACTACACACACCCACTACACACTACCTAACCTAACCTAACCTAGCCTAACCTAACCTAACCATCTTAAATTATGCTACCTCGGGAGGGGGGGGGAGGGAGATTAGGTTAGTGTTAGGTTAGGTTTGGTTATCGTTATGTTGGGTAAGATATGATTTGGTTAAAGTTTTGGTGGTTAATTATACAGGTGAAATAATCTGTAGTATATCTTCCCTTCCCTTCCCTTCCCTTCCCTTCCCTTCTCTTCCCTTCCCTTCCCTTCCCTTCCCTTCCCTTCCCTTCACTTCCCTTCCCTGCCCCTCTTCCCTTCCCTTCCCTTCCCTTCCCTTCCCTTCCTTCCCTTCTTCCCTTCCCTTCCCTTCCCTTTCCTTCCTTCCCTTCCCTTCCCTTCCCTTTTCTCCCCTTCCCTTCCTCCCTTCCCTTCCCCTTCCCTTCCCTTCCCTTCCCCTTCCCTTCCCTTCCCTTCACTTCCCTTCCTTCCCTTCCCTTCCCTTCCTCTCGCCCTTCCCTTCCCCTTCCCTTCCCTGTTCTTCCCCTTCACTTCCCCTGCCCTTTCCCTTCCCTTCCTTCCCTTCCCTTCCTTCCTTCCTTCCTTCCTTTCCTTCCCTTCCCTTCCTTCCCTTCCCTTCCTTCCCCTTCCCCCTCCTTCCTTCCCTTCCCTTCCCTTCCCTTCCCTGCCCCTTCCCTTCCCTTCCCTTCACTTCCCTTCACTTCACTTCACACTTCACACTGACTTCACTTCCCTTCCCTGCCCTTCCCTTCCCTTCCCTTCCCTTCCCTTCCTCTGGTGGTCGGTCATATGTGAAAGAAAATGGAAGAAGCGAAGGTGATAAAAGAGAGAAATAAGGGAAGAGAAGAAGAAGAAAAAGGAGATGGGAGGAACATGGGGTAGGGAAGTGATAGACAAGGGAAGGGAAGAAGAAGGAGGAGGAGGAGGAGGAGGAGGAGGAGGATAGGAGATAGAAAAGGAAGTGTAAAGGAGGAATTGTGAGAGAATAGATTAATGAGGAAGTGGTGGATGGCCGGGAGAAAATTAGGAGAGGGAGAGACAGAGAGAGATGAGAGGGGGGGGGTAAGAGATGAGAAGAGGGAGAAGAAGTTTAGGAAGGAATGAGAGAAAGGAAGACAGAGATAAAAGATAAGTAAAGTGTGTGTGTGTGTGTGTGTCTGTGTATGTGTATGTGTATGTGTGTGTGTGTGTGTGTGTGTGTGTGTGTATCGTTGTTTCGGGTCTCCTTCCTCCATGTTCCTGAGTGTTGATCCTTCTCTTCCTGTTATTCCCAATTCTCTTCATATCCTTCTTATCCACGTCTTTCTTATCCCCTGCTATTTCTTCACCGGCATTATCGTTGATTGGGTAAGTTTGGCGGTAAATATTAGCTTCGTGTGTTTTGCGATGTCGTAACTTTGGTTT